GGTTTCTTAACTACAAAAGATAGTTGCTCTCTCCACAACTGAAGCAGAATATGTCGTTGTTACGGAAGCCAACAAAGAGATGGTTTGGCTCCAAAGTTTCTTGGAAGAGTTAGGCAAGAAACAAGAAAATAATGTCTTGTATTGCGACAATCAAAGTGTTATCTATCTAGCAAAGAATCCGTCTTTTCATTCCGGAACGAAACACATACAACTGCGATATCATTTTATCTGGTCTCTTCTGGAAGATGGGATTTTGAAACTTGAAAAGATCAATAGAGCTCAAAATCCGGCAGACATGTTAACAAAGACGGTGACCACGGACAAACTGAAGTTGTGTTCAGCTTCAGTTGGCATGCTAGAGTAACAAGACCAGAAATGCTGCTGCATTGATCGAGGTATGAAGACAGATTAAAATCAGTCTTCAAGTTGGAGATTGTTGGAGGAAAAGTCAAAAAGGGTGGGAATTGGGGCACCGCTTAGATGCACGTTTTCAAACAAATGGTAGGCACCGAATAGTGCTTATTTCAAAGGTTGGAAATTTTGTGTTGAAAATGGTAATGGTTAAATCATACATTTAGCCATTGTATTTTAGGGTAATTACAAGATTAGTTCCTAAGATTCAACTATAACTACCCTAGCTCATTAAGTTTCAAAATCATCCCAAAAATCATTTCTTCCTCCCAATACCAGAGAGTTTTCCTGTGAGTAGTGAATGTTTTGTAAACACCTGTAAATTTTCTCTCTTAGTAAAAGATCTACAGCAGTCCGGAGACGTAGGCACAATTGGCTGAACTCCGTTATCAATTTTTCGGGTATTATTTTTCCGCTTTTATTTCGTATTCTCACTAATCTAGTTATAGGGAAATTACTCGTTACTCTGTTTATTTTCCAACAAAAATGGGTTGGAGATCTCTCATCTTTTCTTTACGGATGACTTGATGTTATTTGCGGAAGCGTTTATGGATCAAGTGGTAGTGATTCGCAAAGTACTGGAACATTTCTTCAAGTGTTCGGGCCATCGTGTGAGCAATTCAAAAACCCAGATCTTCTTTTCAAAGAATTGTGATGTTAGTAGGAAGCTTGTGATAGCAAATAATTTTGGCTTTGAAGTTGTTAACAATTTAGGGAAGTACTTAAGAGTCTCACTCCTTCATGAGAGAGTTACAAAAGCAACTTATCGATATCTAATCGATAAAGTGGAGAATAAATTGTCGGGTTGGGTGACGAAAACGCTCTCTCTTGCAGGCCGTATCACTCTCGCCAAAGTTGTGTTGCAAGCAATTCCGACATATGTTATGCAATCCACTTGGCTTCCAAAGGGGGTTTGTGAGACCTTGGAAAAATAATCCCTAGATTTGTTTGGAATGCTAAGGATGGCTCAAATGCTCTTGCTTTAGTTAAGTGGGACACGTTGAAGAGACCTATAGAAGAAGAGAGACTGGGAGTTAAAGACATTGATACCCAAAACATGGTTTTCCTCATGAAAATCGGAATGTAATTATTGGAACGGACGGATAAATTGTGGGTGCAGGTCCTAAGATGCAAGTATCGCTGTTCAGAGGAGATTCCGCATTCTTTTCAATGCCAAAGAAGCTCTCGCTTATGAAGAGAGTTAAGTTGTGTTTGGGGAGAAATTCGTAATGGGTTATTTTGGAACATCCGAAATGGTGAAGGACTGATTTTTATATGATAACTGGGCAGATGGTACTGAAGCTCTTGTGCACCATAATTTACTTGATACAGAGCCGCATCCATCACCCGTAAGAGCTATGGTTACACCATCGACAGCTTGGGATTGGAATCGTTTGGTGGGCTGGTTCTCGGTGGATATCTGTAACCGCATTGATGCGACATGCCCATCATCCTAGATCCTTGGAGAGGACAAGCTAGGTTGCCGATGGGAAGCTAGTCATAATTTCACGGTTAAGTCGGCATATAGAGTGCTTACTCAGACCTTGGCTAATGATGAATCTAGCAAATGGAAAGTGGTATGGGAACTGAACATCCCCCAAAGGATTAGAACTTTCTTATGGCTCACACTCCCTGGAAGGTTGCTAATGAACGAAGAAAGGTTTCGAAGGAATATCGCAGACTCAACCAGGTGCACTATTTGTAACTCTGAGATGGAGGATCTAAACAATGCTCCCCGGTGAATCTAAACAATGTTTTTGATATCTGGAGCAAATTAGTAGCAGCTGATAACTTGCGACAGTTTGCTAGAAATTATGGAAGCGAAGGTGTCGCGTCATCCTTCAGTCGAATTACGTGGAACATGAAGATTTATTGGTGCAGTGTTTCCGCCTTAAACATGATATTATAACCTCGAACTCAACTCCTAAGACTGGGAAATGGGACCGTGGTCAAGTGAGATGGCAAGGACCTGCACCGGATTGGGTGAAGGCTAACACAGATGGGGCCATGGGAGGTCCGAACCTGATGGTTGCAGCCGGGGGTGTTATTCGAGGTTCTCAAGTTGATTAGATTATTGGTTTCGCGAGAAGCTTAGGTATATGCTCGGCGCTGCATGCTAAAATATGGGCGATTCATGACGTGTTAAAGCTAGCCTGGAATATGTGGAACATAAATAGGAATGGCAAACAGGCGGATCGGGTGCGGATATCCCATCCCCATCTTTATACCCACTTAATATTTTTAAATCCATCGCCTACCACTTATGATGGATAAAAGTTTTCAAATCCACATCCGCTCACGCAGATACATTCTCAAATCTATCCTTACACCCACTACCCAACTGGAAACGTATCCGGCTAGACCCGCCTTACAGCAACCTTAAATAATACATAAGCAACAAACATAAAAAAAACACGTCCATTAAGAAACATAATAAAATAAATCAAAGATTATCTAAGTTAAGTGTTAACATAGATCTTAAAGTACATAAAACACCATAATAAAAGACATAATTAAATCCTAGAAACATAAAATACAAAACACATAATATTTTTGTTCTTTGACATACATAAATGACAAACCTTAAAATTATACTTAAATTTATAATGGTCTAAAATTTAATGGGTATTTAGTGGGCGGGTAGATGTGTGGCGGGTGAGATCTCAAACGCATCACCTGCCCACTACCCGCGATGGGTATCACTTTCTAAATTCACACCTGCCTACTACCCACTAAAATTATACCCATCCTCACCCCAATTGAAACGAATATGATACGAAATCCACGAAATTGTATCCAATTACCATCCTATACATGAAGGTGGAGGTTGAGACTGATTGTCAGTCAACAGTGAAGATGCTCGATAGACAGTCCACTGTGAGAGAAGGCAATACGGTTGTGGCTAAAGTCCACGAGCTTTTGGAACGCGACTGGGAAGCAAAGATTAATCATGTGCACCGAGAGGCAAATGCAGTAGCGGACCATCTTGCTAAAATGGCTGAAGGCTGACCGGTGGGTGAAGTTCACTTCCAGGATCCTCCGATGGAGATTACAGCTTTGTATGAGTTTGACCAAGCTCATATGTATTAAGCACTTCTTTCCAGTATAAAAAAAAAACAAAAGCTTGATATGCTCCTCAATTTCATCAATGGCCGCCTCACTCGCAGTTATACCTTTCAAGCGAGAGAAGATTTAACGCAATGTGGGGTCCATGGCTGCTACACTATTTTTTCTATATGCAAGTTATAATGAAAAACTCCGGTCGTAATAAATAGGCTTCCTAAGTTCATGATTTGTAATGGCAGCCAGTGTAGTTTAGTTTCTTGTATTTAAATGGGGACAAGATGGGCACATGATGGGGTAGGATAAACCCTTAAAATCCCTTTATCATTATCCCCATAGGATAACTATAATCCTTAATAATTTTGTTTTCTTAATTCAATCTTAATATTTGTGAATAAACCGCCTTCACATATGGCCAAAATTTGCTTGGGACACCCAAATGGAATCTTTCTTCTTCAATGATATACGAGTTAGTGGAGACCCTACCTTTGAACCAAAAATCACAATCCACAGCTTCAGGCTCATCATTTCAAAAATAAATAAATAATATCTGTTTAAATTCATTATCCGCAGCACCTCCCTCATATTTGTCTTGGATGTCAAAATGGGACAGTTTTTATGGCTTTTGTTCAATAAATCCGAGTCATGACTCATCCGATTCATGCTATGGTCCCTCCACAATTTATTGCAATTGCTGGTCGAAACCACCGTTGTTTCTTTTGCCGCTTTGTAACTAGTGGCATCAAATCTGTGCTCATAAATGAACCCACTGATCAGGACTTAGCTATGGTCAGGGATGAATCCAAGGAATACAATGGGGTGTCACTCTTACAAGTTTTAAATTATTATATATTTCAATATCTTTTTATTTTTAAAATTTTATAAATTCATCCCGTAAAATATATTTACGTGTCCTTAACCAAGTCCCATAGCTTAGGGTACCGTCTTGAACAAATCCATATTTCACAGCTAAAAGAACATGTCTGGTTGTTTCTTCTTCTTCATCACCACCTCATAGATTCCATGCATCTTACCAGTTGATGCTTAATCTCCGATCGTTCAAAGATTGTTTGGGGGTTTTAATCCCCCCAGAGTACATTACCTGCAGAAGCCATATAACCAAAGAATTAAGCACACAGAATATATCCTCTATTATAAAAAAGAAAAAATGTGGGAAAAAGCAAAAAGATCAGAATAAACAACAAAGAACAAAAAAAAAATAAAGGTAAATGAAACCACAGGTAAAACAGGACAAGGATAAACGTTACAAGCGTGGGCCTCACGTGTCGAACTCAACGGTGGGAACTGCTGAGGATAAGGAAAAAGAACATGGCACGAAGATTATGAAACCCGCTTTAATGATTAAAAGCAACGGAACGGAGAATTATTATTGGGGTAAGCTATGCTGTGAGAAATTGAAGTTGAATGGAAATCATTCTGAAAGAGGAAAAATGAGGTTTTTTTTTTTGGGGGGGGGGGGGGGGTAGGGGGAGATGATCGAAAACAAATATAGGAGCTGGGATTCATTAATGGCCACACAATCATCAAAAGCAGTTCTTCTTAAAGGATATACAGTTTAAAATACAAAATAATTTATAGCTTAATTTGTTTTCTTTTGTTCATCTGCGGGTAGTACTGATCATTACTTGTTCTTCTGCTATTGCCAATGATTCCCGCTGTGAAGAAGGTAAATATGGCGAGGGTTTCCATGGTAACCATAGTAAGGAATCATTTTCCCCACAGATTTCTGAGAATAAAGAGGGAAAGCTACGGGAGTCCCCGTGATCTGGAGTACGCAGGAGTATCTCGGAGTGGATGGGAAAGATGACTTTGACGATGAAACCGATGACGAAGGAGGAGAAGAAACCGCTTTTTTGGCGGATTTCGGCTGCGAAAGGAAGGCTCGGATCTTTAAAAAAGACGGCGGCGACGCTACACGATCGTATTCCTCGATGAGATTCGCAAGATCCTCATCGGAAGTGATCGAAACCAGCGCGTCTAAATCCTCAGTCGGCAACTGGCAACGTAGACTCACCGGTGTCCCGCACATCTCTCCCATCTTCAACGACAGCTCTGTATATAATATATATTTCATTCTCCATGCTTATAACAACGCCAATTTAACCTGAAAACATTCTAGAACATGGCGGATAAAAGAAAAGAAGAAAATACTAACCATCGAAGGATATGGAGCGGTCAGCGGCGAGGACTCGGGTTTCACCGCCGTGGTAACGGAGTTTTCCATCAGGGTAACGAGGGACGATTTTTCCGCCGTAACTGCAGAGGAATTTGATGGTGGGGTTAGCTCCGACCATGATTTTTCCGGTGTTTGTGAAGAGAAAAGAAAAGAACTTTTAGTAGTTTTAGGCGGCGGCGGCGGATGAGGAAGAGGCTTCGACTGGTGGCGTCTTCAAGCCTAGGTTTGGTATCCTTGGAACCCTATTTATAGAGTTTAGCTTATGCTCTTCGGTAACATGGGAGGTTGAAAAAGTTGAGATGGCCCCACTCTGCTTACGTCATATATTCCAATTCTTAAGGTAAAAGTTTCATTTAAAAAATATATATATTTTTCGCTTTATTCGAAATTTATAAGTTCAAACTTCAAACGCCCGTTTTCTTTGTGGTTTGCTAGTCTTCACTTGACCCAGCCCGGTCCTTTTTGATATTCACATTTTAAAAAAGGGTGAATTTCAATGTTAGTCACTTGATATTTAGAATCCTTTCATTTTAGTTACAAAACTTTAATTTTTGGTATTCACATTTTAAAAAAGGGTGAATTTCAATGTTAGTCACTTAATATTTAGCATCCTTTCATTTTAGTTACAATACTTTAATACTTATATTATAGTCATTAAACTTTTAATTTGATTTTACTACAATCACTACATTCCATTAGTGCCGTTGAGAAATACTGACATATCAAAAAACTATAATCTTTAGCAACCATCATAAAAATCATTTTTAGATGAACGAAACAATCGTCCATTACTTGTAATGGTGAAAGGCTTTGTTTGTTTAGAAGATTACAATAATTCAGTTTCAAGTTGATTCGATGATTAATTGTAACATATCAGAAATTGTAAGTTTTAGTTTCTATTGGATTGTCGCCTCCTTTCAATTTCTATCATTGTTCGGTGATTTTTATGATTGAAAATATCACTAAATTACACTTATTCTATTTCTTTCTCTGTCCAAATATCTTTCAATAGAAATAAAAGCTAAAATATTTTTTATCTAATATTGTCTAGTTTTGCATCAATTTAAAATTGAACTATGTGAATCATTTTATCAAATAAAAGCCTTCACATTATTGTTACGACTTAAATGCACTATTATCCCATAAAATATACCATTTGTACCGAGTTGCACCATAAAGTATTTTTTGAGACGTTTTGCTCCATAAAGTTTAAATTATTACCTCGTTTGCCTCAAACTGTGAACTACGTTAAAAACAGCAAGGGTAGATTCAAGCCACTACATTATTTTCACAGTTCAATTTTAGTCACCAAACTATTTTTTTTTTCAAAATCATCTCTAAATTTAAGTTTTGTTTTTGTTCTAATAACCTAATTCAATTTGATTTATTTTAAAATTTGTAATATATAAGAATTAATTTAAATAAGAGTATAACAATTCATTTTCATCTTTTAATACATAAAATATTATTTTTATAAGACAAAATATTACAATATTTTAAGAAATATTATTGAATTTATCTTACTATAAGTTTTAAAACCATAAGAAACAATAGCACGTTCATATATCATAGCTACACTGTGTTTTAATAAAAGCAATGGTTAATATATTAATTTCAACCCCTAAATGATAGAAATGACAAATTAGTACAATTTCGTGGATTTTGTACTATATTCACTCCAATTAGAGTGAGGATGGATATAAGTTTAGTGGGTAGCGGGCGGATGTGAATGTAAAAAGTCATATCCGTCATGGGTAGTGGGTAGCTAATGTGTTTGATTACCTGCCCCGCTTCCGTAGCCCCGCATCCGCTTGCCATGTATATTTTGGATCATTATGAATTTAAGTATAATTTCAAAGATTATTACGAAAATCTTAAGATTTTATAGGACATGACTTATACGAGATGAGTGGTGAATATCTAGTTAGGTAGTGGGTATGGAGATAGAATTAAGAATATACATATGCAAACGGATGTGAATTTGAAAATTTTACCCATCGTAGATGATAATTAAGTGGTGGATACGAAAATATAAAGTGAGTACGGAGACGGAGGAAGAAATATCGACAGTCCCATCGGATTGCCATCCCTACTAAATGAAGTCCTACGACATAGACATAACAATGCTTATTTCCAGCGTTAAGGAAAATTGAGTGGAATATATTGTGGGTTTCTCTTTTAAGTACAGAAAGACAATAACTATGAGGCTGTAATCCTCCTTGGAGGAGAGCATTTCTATTAAAAATAAGATGTTGCGGTGTAACAGTTGTAGCAAAAAATCCTAAAACTGGAAACAAAAACGATTGTAAGTGCAAAAGCCTGACACCGAAAAGAAAAAGACTGGAACTTGGTAGAGGTTTTTCACGTGAAACAAATAAGAAAAATCCTAGACACCATATTAAAAATGAGATAAATTCACCAGCAAGCTTGATCTCATTGGGACTGATTTTATCTGTTAAATGTAGTATTATTGGTGGAGTCACTGCAGCAAAACATGTTTTTAATTGTGTTTTTTAAGTGTTATAGCGACGTTTTTAAGCGTCAGAAAAACATTCTCGACGTAAATAAAACGTCGCAAAAAACATTACTAAAACGAACGCCGTAATAATTAGCGGCGTTTGTGAAGAGAAAACACTGTAAAAATTCAAACTCTATAACGGCGTAAGATTGGTTCTCGATAAGCATTAGCAGCAGCAGTGGTAGTAACAGGAGGCTTCAAATTTGGCATTACTATCGCATTTCCAAAGTGCTTTGCGCTGCAGTAAGAATACTAATTAGATGGGTAAAAAAAATCACAATCATTCAGAATGTAATCAAATATAATTTCCCCATAAATTGAATAAGCAACTCCAGTGAAGAAGCGATGAGCAAATGATTGTTTTGGTTAATTTGTGTGTCAAGTAATTCAATTTATTATTATAAGTTAATTTATGTGCCAAGCGAATGATTGAATAAGTAATTCAATTTATTATTATAAATTAATTTACGTGCCAAGTAAAAAAAATGTGATATAAATGATTTCTTATTTATTATTAATTTTAAAAATAAGTTGAATCTATTTGAATGGCCAAAACGGAACAAAAAACTTAATTTTAATAACGATTTTGAGAAAAAAATAGTTTGATGACTAAAATAGAACCGTAAAAATAGTTGAGTGGCTAAATATATAATTTACCCTTGTTATTTTTAATGGAATTAACATGTTGGAGTAAACTAGGCAACTATTTAAACTTAAGGAGATAAAATATCCCGAAAAATACTTTAGATATAAGTTGGTACAAATAATATCTTTAAGGGACAATGATACATTTAAGTCTATTGTAATTGATCGTTGACAATTTAGTTCATCGAAAAATCAAGTTTTTAGGATGACTGTCAATCTAGAAAAGTAGTGTTTTTTTAATAGAAGATTTTAATTTTTGACGATTTTACAAAAAAATCACGTTGACATGAAATAATTATCTGTCAGACACCATTTTGTTAAATTTTATTGATCTAGTATCTATTTTGATAAGACGTGGATCGTCATACGTTTCTTTACAGGATTTCGTCCGAGTTGACATGATGTCATGAAAAGTACAGATCTTCATTTGTGCCTTATCCGAACTGGTGCCATGTAAGGACAAACTCGAATCGCCATCCACGCCTTATTATTTTAAAAATTAAAAAAATAAAACTATAGGGTTAACATTGTAATTTAATATATATTAGTTTCATGAGTTGAAGAGCTTAATGAGATTAGTTTATATAGTACACCTTTTAGCTTTTATCCCACATTGTTAAAAAAATAACCTAAACACTCCAATATGTCTATATAAACTAACCCCATTAAGCTCTTTAACTCACGGAACTAATATATATTAAATTATGATATTAGTCCATATAATTTTATTTTTTTTATTTTTTAAAATGATAAGGCATACGTGGTGCCAGCTCGGACGAAACCCCGAAAAGGCACGGATCATCATAAAGGATACTACATCGGTAAAATTTGTCGAAACGGTGACAGGTAATTATTTCCTGTCAGGATGATTTTTCGGTAAAATCGCCTTAATGTTTCACATCATTATTTCTTAACACTAACTAATGACAATGATCATGATGAAAATGAATTGATGATAGTAACTAAAATAAAAGTTTTTCAATTTTAAGTGATGAAAGTATAACCATTTTAGAAGCTCAATGGCCATAGAAGTGTAATTTTACTCTAGACATGAACATAAAATTATTTTTAATTTTTTAATAGTTTTTGAATGATTATTTTTAATGTGTGAAAAGGAGATTAAGTCGCTCTCACCTCAATCAAACAATTAAATGTTTAATATTGATTTTTGGTCATGAAACGGCATAATGGAGACGTGTCTTGTAAAATACACTAAACTATGACTTTAAAAGTATTGAATTAAGAAAGGAAAAATCTCGTAAGTAACAATCAAATGACTTGTTTAGCACTAAAAATATCTCACCAAAAGCCAAAGCACAATGAAATTGGGTAATTGTATCGTATGACAGTTTAATATACGATTAAATAAAGACGCTACCGAAAATATTAATATTTTTCTAAACTTTTGGTAAAACGTTACCTAAAACATTATTTTTTTACTAGTAAAACGTTACGTAAAACATTAAGAAAGATGCTTGATGCTGCAAACATAGATTTAGAGCAGCTTAACAATCTTCCTTCTCAAACAAATTTATTTATTTCTTTTAGTTTTTACAACAAATAAATATTTGATATTTGTCATTTTTTTTATTTGGATTTCTCAATATATTTGATGTACTGTCCTACTAATATATTATAAACAACTAATCTCATTTTATGTATTATTCTAATAATGTATACACAATTATTAAAGAAAATAAATAATTCTGTTTGGTGATGGGAGTTTAAGAATATTAACGCAGTTGATAGTTTTAAATGAAATTCTAGTCTAAAAATTAAGAAAATATAGTCCTGTTTTTTTATAATTTATAGGTCTAAACCTAATTTTATTCAAAGAATAATAATATTTAATTGTATTAAATAAAAAAAATAATTAACAAAACTATAATCGTAAAAAAACTTACAAAAATTCAAGTAGGCTAATCACATTAATCAGTTATCAAAGAGCACAAATTAACATCTAAATAATGAAAATAGAATCATGTATATAAAAGGAGTTAGAAATAGAATCAAACAACTTTAAAAAAATAG